GAAAAGGCAAGTGCTATGTGCAGCACGTAAAATAACACAGTAACAGAAAAATCAAGTTTTGAAAGTTGTATTTCAAGAAGGAAATATAACAGCAGAAGAAAGCCAGCAGAAAGCCCTAAACCCTCTCCATGCAGAGTACTTCATAGGATAAAGGCACACCAAACCAAGGCCTCCCAGCTGCCCAAGAAGTGTCCTCTTGCCATTGTTGAGTGCCTCCGCTGCAAGGCCAGTGGCAAGCTACTTTGCAAAGTTCCATTCATTGATTGGAATAAATGCACTCATTTATTCTTTTTTCAGCCAAACTGTTTCATGTTGACTTTATCAGGATTTCCTTTCTCTCCTCCTGGACATCACCACAGGGCAGCTGAGGTGCAAGGCATGAGGTTGCTGGTCTCATACTTAGCACAGACTCTGTTCTGGCCATGGGGAGATGGGGAGATACACCATTTGTATGTGGCACCACACCTCCACCAACTTTGTGTTTGCCAAGAACCAAGTTTTACCACAACAGATGCTGCCAGATGAAGACATTGCAATTGCTTTAGCAGATTCCTTTCCTAACAGGGTGAATGATTTCTAAACCATATAGATGCCAGCTATTGGGAGTGATTTGCCTTAAAGGGTACTTCTCAGCTAGGCCAAAAGGTAGAACACCCAGCCTTTTTGCGGCTGTGGTGAGGGCCCCAGGAGCCCGCAGACAGCTAGCAGAAGGGTCAGGGCTTTACAAATCTCCATTTCCTCAAATGCAGGACTATTTCTCAGATATTTCTACCTAGTGTGCTTGGAAGTCTCTCATCCACTGAAGGGCTGCTCAGGTAGGTAATGTCCTTTAAAAACAAACCAACATGCACGCATGTAGTAAGCACACAGTGAAGATGGAGTCAGAAGTGGTAAATTCAACCAAAATGCTTCTTGAAATAAATAGGAAACTGAAATGAGTTTCCAACATGTGTATGAAATTCTTCACATAGCTCTAAGATGCTGAGATGGCTGCATTTTTCCCAGAGCGGGTGTTTCAGTTTTGCTCAGATTCCGTAGTTCCAGGGCCAAAACAGACCTTGTGATGTTTCCTTGATTGGATGAAAAACGTATTGCAGTGGAGCCCAGTTTACTGCACCTGCAGGCACCCTGGGTAGCCTTGAAGGAGGTGGTTTAAAGATGATTTCAAATCAGGATCCCTGATAGCCATCCCTAAAGGAGTGGGTATTGTGACACAGAGCTTGGGGGCACGGCCAGCATCCTTCCCAGCAGATCTGGTATCCATGCTACAGGGACATCCCTGGCAGAAGGGACTGAGCACACTGGTGACTGTCACATTGATGCTCTTCTCCCAAAACATCTTCCCAGAAACATCACTGATGCCAAATAGCACCCCGTCACCTCTCGTCTCTGTGATCCACTTCTTGCAAAACTGCCCAGTTGCAGACGGATGATGCACATGCACAGACTGCCTGGTAAAGAAGCATGTTTTCCTCCAGGGCTTTCCTCAGAGCCAGTTACCCCAGCCCCTGCCTTTCCTTCTCCAAACTCAGGCAGATGCAGTGCTTCCATGGCAATGCTATGAAACACCTCATGACTTGTTTGAAGGTCTGGAATGTCTTTTCCAACCTCAATGATTCTAAAATTCTATGATTCTACAGCATAAATTCCTTTAGTAGAAGAGTTAAGAATGCTTCCCACCATCACAGACTAATGGCTAAAATGCGTGTATTCCTGTATCTTCTGCACTCTAGGAAGGTGATGATGAGCTTCAGAGGTTGGTAGCAGATGCAGATAATACTCAAAAAAAGATGAGAGTTCCTTCAGTTTTCTTCCTATTTGCTGTGCTGCAGGGTTGCCATTATTTAATATATTTACCTGCACACTGCAGGATTCTTCTTTCATTTCTAGTGCACATCAGGACTGTCCCTATTGTGTTGAGACTACCCCACACAACAACAGAATCAGCAGCCTGGACTGACAGCATACCCTTTCTAGTCACCCAAAAACACACTTTTGAGTTTAAAAATCCGAATAAACAATGTTGGGCATTAATACCAAACCCTTCTGCTGGCTGCAGCATGTGCGTGGGAAGGAGAGGGCATGCTGCAGGGCATAAGCAGCTTCAGCCTGCCCACCGGCTTGGCTGCAATAGCACTGTCCAGCCTGGAAGTCTGCATTTTCTGAAACAGCACAAAATGGAGAAGCCGTAGTTCAGGCTGGGGTTGTGATTGATGCGCTGCTGCTTGGTGCTTTTACAGATAAAGCACGGGAGCAATAATTAATGAGAAAACACAAGGATGATGCAGCCTGGAGTGAAACCCCATCCTTGCTGATACCGGTGGGGATTTTGCAACCTGCATGGCAGGAGTTCACTTGACAACAGGGAAACAAATTATCTGCATGAGGCAGCAGGCAATGATTCTGTGATTCTATGATTCTGTGATTCTGTGATTTTATGATTCTATGATTCTATGATTCTATGATTCTATGATTCTATGATTCTATGATTCTATTCCAGAGCTTTTCCTTGGGACCTGTGGACCAGAGCCTCCTCTCTGCATCTACCTTCCCACTGCTGCTGGAGGCAGCTGTGCTTGCAGAAGCACAGAATCCCCTAAGACAGCCGCACGGAGAGAAGCCGCAGCCCAGCTAGGAAGTTGTTTATGACAACCGATGCCAGCTCAAACACTACAGGGGTTTTACCTTCAGAGGATGTTTGCATTTCTGGTTGCCAGCCCCAGGATAATGGGGAGGCAGGGAGGAAGGACCGCAAGGTGGACATGCCTGGCACCAGGCACTGCTCCATGGTCTGTGTGTTGGTGGATCCACAGAGAATTTGTTCCCCCATCTGCTGCTCTGTAGATCATTTTAAAAATAAACTTACCGTATTAAAAAGAAAATGCGATTGTTACAGTTAAGTGGCTGCAGTGCTAGAGATAGTTTGTCTTCCTCCTTCTCAATTTATATCCAAAAATGCACAATTAATAATACATTAACTTAGCTGGGAACCAGTGTAAGTCAAGATTTTGTTACAAATACGTTTTATTTTGTGTAATAAACAGATTTTTTTTCTGGCCTATAATACTGCAGAAGAGATAATTCCTCTCTACATTTGCATTTCACACTTCCCCAGTTTCAGACAGATTAGCACAAATGATGTTTCGTGCTCAACTCACCCGATTTTAGAAAGCACTCCTCTGTTAAGTCATGCTACTTTCAGATAATTATTCTACAAAAACATACTTAAACTAATTGTACAAATGGGGCAAACACAGAGTTACATTGGCTGGAGGCCCTCTGTGTGCAGCAGAAAACGCATAGCAGTGATCAGCTGGGGTCCTCCTCCCACCACTGGCAGTGGGCATCAAGCAAGGTCCGTGGTTGTGCACAGTACACATCTAAGAGTGTAATCAAGGTAATAAAAAAAAAAAAAAAAGATATTAATGCTTTGAAAAGCTCAGAAGAGATGTATAAATCCATTACTTTTTCAGCAAGACTGAATCCATCAGAGCCCAAGTCTCTTTCTAATAAATTCAGTTGTCAGACTGTGAGTCATTTACTGCAGATGCTGACAGCATCTACCAGTACCCATGGTGGACTCTGCTTTTGCCATGGTTCTCTTTCTTGGTCTTTGAATTGATCACGTGATGCAGCTTGAGCAATTGGGACTTTCTCCAATCATTTGATTTAGTTTATCACACTTTTCCATGGTTAGAAATAATAAATGGCTGTGGGTAACTCTTTGCTTTCTTGGGAGTGAGCTGAGACCTGCTCTCTTATGAGAAAAACAGTGCGTGGAATGAGACGTGAGCTCTGCCTTGCTACACACCAGAGCACAAAGCAGAGCAGCGATGCCCTTGAAAGCCATTTTCTGAAACAGTTTTGTCTTAAGTATGGCATAGGTGTCTTGGGCAACTAGAAAAATAGAAACATCCTTGTGAAGCTATCAGGAAAGATGACCTTTGAATGCAGAATCTGGGCACTACCTGCAGTTTCCCAGCAGTGATTGTCCTGGCTGGTTCTGTGTTAAACCTTTCTGTGAAAGTTTCTTTGCAGCATGTCGCTGAAGCTGTGAGTTTCTGGCTCAGTTCGGATGGTGTCATTTAGGTGCTGGTGGGAAGTCTCAAAGACACCATTGCCCTTTGTTGGGTTTGCCACCTAAGGGGGCAGAGTCATCCCCACTTGTTAAATGGGTGAGCAGTGATCAACAGCAGCCAGAACAGCATTTTGTCCTCCAGGCTGCAAATAGCCAGAGGGTTGTGAATGTTCCTTTTTCACTTTTTTCGTGATTGTACCTCTGTGCTGCTGCATAGGCTGCTGATGACTGGGTACAGTCCTGTTTGATATCTTCTTTGTTGACAAGGAGATTAAGTGCATTCTCAGTAAGCTTGCCAATGACACCAAATTCGGGGGAAAGTGTCAATCTGCTTGAGGGTAGGAAGGCCCCGCAGAGGGATCTGGACAGGCTGGAACAATGGGCTGAGGCCAATGGGATGAAGTTCAACGAGACCAAGTGCTGGGTCCTGCATGCTGATCACAGCAACTCCAGGCATTACTACAAGCTTAAGGCAGAGTGGCTGGAAAGCTGCATACAGGAGAAGGATATGGGGATGTTAACACTTTGCTGCACATGAGCCAGCAGTGTGCCCAGGTGGCTGAGAAGGCCATCAGAATCCTGGCTTGTATTAGAAATAACACAGCCAGAAGGAGAAAGGAGATGATCATCTCTCAGTTCTCAGCACTGCTGAGGCTCCACTTGGAGTGCTGTGTTCAGTTTTGGGACCCTCATTACAAGAAGGACATGAAGGCCCAGAAGTGTATCCAGAGAAGGGCAACTGCATGGGAACTGTTGATCACATCCTGAAGCACTGATTGATCACCTGAGGCGAGCACTGAGTCAGCCATGGAGCACAGGTGGAGGCGATTCAGCTGTGTGATGGAAGGGGTGGAGCCTGGCTGCACCTCTCCTAGACCCCATTTAAGGGCTGACTGCCATGGGAAAGTGTTTCTTTGTGGAGGTTCCTCCTTGTGGAGTTTACTGTGAGCCTACAACACTGGTGAGCATTTCCATTTATTTTGATTATCTTTCCACTGTGGTAATCTTACTAAACCTAACCTCTGTATTGATTGTACACCTATTGATTGTGCAGCAACAAATCTGTGAGTGATCTGGAGCCCAAGTCTTATAGGGAGCAACTGAGGGAGCTGGGATTGTTCAGTCTGAAGAAGAGGAGGCTTGGGGGAGACCTGATTGCTCTCTACAGCTGCCTGAAAGGAGGCTGTGTTGAGGTGGGGGTTGGCCTCTTATCCTAGGTAACAGTGATGGGATGAGAGAGAATGGCCTTAAGCTGCTTGAGGGGAGGTTTGGGTTAGATATCAACAAAAAACATCTTTCTTCTCAGAAAGGCTGGTATTATAATCTCTGATGGCCAAAGCACAAAGCAGCCAGCTCTCCCAGGTGAGAGCTGACACAGTCCCACCCTTCCCTTTTCTCCTTACCAACATTTTCTCAGACTTTCTGGCTTAAAGTGAAATAAGAGTGAGAGAAGAGGGGGAAAAAAAGACTTCAGGGAAGCTCTTTCAGGAAGTCTGGGTGGATTCCTTCACTGCAGGTGACCCTATTAGTGGAACGTGGTGTCAGCAGGCAGTGTCAAGCACTGGGTTCCATAGGATGCTCAGAAAGGGCAGAGCTGCATCTCAGGTGCCCTGCTGCAGTGAGTGGGAGCTTAGGCCCTATCATGGAGCTGAAGCACTGCATGATTTCTTCCAACAGAACAAATTTAACAGAATGTGTGTAACACCTTTGAAACACAAACTGCTGGAATTCTTTAATGTTTTTAGAAATAATTAGCACTCCTTAGCTGTTTCTGGTCATGCGTGCCAAATAACTAATAAAGCTATGTCAAATAAAGATAGGAGGGATAAAAAAAAAAGTGAGTTTTTAATCTGAGAAATAAAGAGCACACTGTTAATAAAGTGCAATCATTTTGTTAAATATTTAAAATACACCTTCTATATTAAATTTGTATTTTAGCAAATATCTTTCTGTTTATAAACTTTTAACACATTTTATGAATATTGCATGCAGGCAGCAGGAACTTCTTCAATAAAAGTAACTTATTCCTTACATATTCATCCTCTTGATCAAACATTCCCATTTTATATCAAGATACATTTGTATTTTTTCATTACAATTTGTACAGTTTCTACTTAGAGATAATGCAATTACAAATGCTGCTTGTAAATCTTTCGTACTCCCCTCACATACCATTCAATTTAAATATCATTCTGTTATTTACAATTGCTCCATTTTAATAAGAAAAGATGCCTGCAACCAATTACTTTATTGAATGCTGCTTCTCAGCACACTATACATCTCTTTCAAAATAATTTGTATTTTCTATATTTTGAGCAGATACCAGAAAGCATTATTGTTGTTTTGCCATGTAGCATTTCTGCAACGTGCCACTGTTCAGGGAAAGATCTGATGAGAGAGTGGAAATGTACAGCCTCCCAGGTCTGCAGCATCTTCTACTAGGTGGGATAAATATGTGACTGGAGAGAGACTGTCAGCTGGCGTAAGTCAGTAGTTATTTTACCCCTCTAAATACTGATCTGAAAAGATGTTATTCTTGTAGGTCCTCTACATGCCTCATTTTTTTTTTTTTCCTGTTATCAAAACAGTGGGCAAATCTACAAGAAATTCTTACTGAGAAAGAACATGGAGCAACTCCACCATATCTCAGTGAAGACATCCATCCAGCACTCACTTTTATCCTTTTTCTTATGAAACTTTTCTTTCACTTACATTTAATGAATGTCCAAGTTAAATGAGCAAAAGGAGCTATAAGCAATGATAACATAATTACCTATAAGCAAATAGTATCCTCATAGTGCAGTAACTTTCCACAGAGCTTTGACCTTTTTTCTCAGTGTGCTTTTTAGGTTTTTCTCCATTTCCACACCAATAAACTACATATGTAGGATGCTTTCTGGCACTGTCTGGTAGAGCCAGAATCGGTGTCTTGGTGTTCTTCGAAATACAAATGCCAAAAGGGCACATTGGATTTTCACAATGTAGTTGCCTCATCTTGGACAAATGAGGTGTGTTCAGATCTTACTTCTGCAGATGCTGAAACAATTTAAGTGATTACATAAGATCTCCTAAATGAGTGACTAATTTTGCACGCTTTTCTAAGTGATTGTTACCAGTTCTTATGGGTATTTGGGTTATGAAATATCCTTAATTATCTCACTATACTACTGTTGTTTTCTACTTGACACATTCTTCATTAACTGCTCCTCAACATCTTGCTCCACTTCATCTTCAATGCATGACTGTCTCATTTACTGTGCACTTTTCACACCCTGCTCTGAAAACAGCATTATTCGTGCCTCCCTGGGCTTTGCTGCAGTGTGTGATATCAGTGTTTCACAAACATTTAACTTACTCCCAGTGTGCTTCTGGTGAGATGTATTGTCAGTGGAGATGGTTATGCACAGAGAATTGAGGCACAGGGAGTACGGTCGAAACTAACCTCTAACTCAGGGTGGAAGATTTGAAATACCTAGGGCTTATCATTTCATAGTATATAATATTTTTCCACAGCACTTTGCATGCTTAGGAAATAGCTTCTGTTGATTTCAGATGTGACTGTGCCTGCTAAATGCTTCCAAGGTTTCAAGCTGGGTACTGCCACATGCAAATGGTCATCTCTGAGAGGTTTTGTTCCTGTGGATTTCCACAATCACACAGGGATTTTGTGACAGCAATAAAAAGAAAAAAAAGAGGCTAAGGTGAAATCCCTCAAGGGAGACTGGCTGCACTGTAGCAGAATCTTTCTCTGCTGTCACCAAATCCAGTACACTACCCATGCTTCCTCCAGTTGATGTAAGAAATGAGTTGCAGAGAACTCCTTGACTTGCTCCACAGCTCTGATTCAGTTCGGAAGGAAGCTCATGATGTGTACTCTATACCAACCCATTGCTTTTAGCAGCATGGTTTATCTAGGGTGAGGTGGTCAATTCCACACTTCAAGGCTGTTTCTGCCAAGAAGGAAAGAAGGGGAATTGCTGTGGGGGGGAGGTGCCCCGTTAGACCTGCAGTTTACAAACAGGGAAGGACTGGTGGGGTACAAAAGAAGCCATGGGTTTGGGTGTCTGCTGCAAGTCCTGGCTGCCTGTCCCTCTTGGTGCCAGCAAAGGGATGAAAGCTTCTGAGAGCACTGGAGAGAGATGCTGCCTGTTACCCCATTTATGCAGTCATTATGAGGAGGTATCCTGTGAGATGCACTGTCATCAGTGCCCCTGGGCTTGGATGTTCCTAGCATGTGTCCTGCAGGTCCTGGAGATGGAAAAAGGCATTGCAGAAGGTGATTCTTGTCCCCTGGGAGATTTTCAGCTGGGACAAGTCATCAATAAGAACATGCAGCCCACAGTGAGTTTTTTTTTGTTGTCGTTTTGGTGGTGGTGGTTGTTGTTGTTTTCCTGTACTTAAGAGAAGTCTGGGATAGGGATGGTTAAAATCATGTCCTTGATGCAAGGTCTTGGCTGCAAAGGAATTCCCAGCCCCTGCCTCGATGCGTGGGTAGTGCACAGCTTTCAAACCTCAGCTGTGAGATGTATGTCTTTCCCTAGCTTCATTCCGAGAAAAAGATCTGTGAGCAGTAAACAGCCAGCACAGAAAACTTTAATGCAAATAGTTAACGCTTTCCTAACTTCTCACAAACAGAAAAGAGAATTTTACTACAGAAATTTTTGGCAAAATACAACACCCCCAACACTGTCTGTAATTAGAATTATTTCTGTAATCCTAAACAGCCATTTTAAATAATAACATTTTCCAAGACATTTTAATTGATTAAATAATGAGCTGCGTGCAGGAATCCACAAAGATCAATCAAACAGCTGCTAATGACTTGATGTGCAGCCGACCCTTCCTACAGGTGAATGTGCCCCGTTCTGTGAGGAGGCCAACACCTTCTCTCAGCACCACCCGAAGCTGATAACTGGCGTCGTTTTGATCCAGTACTGCAGCTTTTGCTTTTGTTTTTACAAGCGGCTCTCTGACCAACAGTGTTAAGTTGGATTTCCCAGCTGTGTCTAGCTGATGTGACACCAAGCACTGACAGATGCTGGCTTCATTGTCAGGATTCCCCTTCCCTTCTTATTCACCTGTTTTCATGAGAATTTGTAGAATCTATCTGCAAGAATTTCCGCAGATTTTTCTGGAAAAAATTCAAAGTATAGCAGAGCAGGCACACCAACACAATATGGTATACAGGTTTTTGTTAAGGAAATGGAGGTGAGAAGGCGGGTCCCTAAAGAGAGTGCATGAGCAGCACGCAGCTGAACCAGCTGGAGCTCTGCCAGCTGACAAGAGCTGAAGACTGTGCCCATATCGTGCATTCTAGCTATTCATCTGCACGGTGCATTGAGAGTCCAAACAGTCTGCTTTTCTTAATGCAGCGTGCCACTGGAAGCAGATTTCTAGGACATAACTGCTCCGTGTATTTCTTATCTTTGCACAATAGCTGACTCCAAAGCTTCATAGAACAGGATATAATTTCTTGCAAAACAACGATGCCTTCTTAAATTATTCACATTATTTATTTGATAATTAATTGATTTGATAATCATTATTTGGTTTATTCAAGAGAAAGACAAAAATGACTATTTGTTACATTCCTCCATTATCTAGTACTCCTAAAATGTATGTGAAGTAACATGTCTGATGGATTGCTGTCAAGGATGTGTGTACTTGTTTTGCTTTTAACAGAGAGAACAGCTACTGAAACTTATTTGCAAGCATCTCCATGTAGCCAGGTGAGCACACTTCAGTTCCAGGTGCTCAGCTTCTCTTCCACATGCAAGAAATGTCCCACTTTGGAGCACATCCTGTTCTCACACCCCTTGGCCATTTGCCTCACGTTTGCTAGCCCATTCTCACCCTCATTACAGAGGCTTCATGCCTCGACCCCCTGCTCAGAGCCAAGATCCCTCCAGAGGTCTCACTTAGCCCCGAGGTAAATTGATGCTGACATTTGCCTTCAGAGATGAAAACCTATTAGATTAAACGTTTGCTGTGTTTCCCAACCCAGCCAAAACCCCACTAGGAAAAAATACCATTCATAGATTTGATTCATCTGACAGAATGGGCTGTGGGCAGGATTTATTTTCTCACTGTCGCTTCCTACTGAGGCAAAGAGTATTTACATGTGCTAATAGACATTAGTCATGTAAATCTGCAGTTCATCAATGGGAAAAAAAGGACTCCAAAAATTGTTAAATCTGATTTTTCAGAAGATTAGAAATAAGCTGCACTTAATCAGATGCTGCTATCATTCTCTTTTTTTGTTTTTAAGAATGTCATTATGATTACTCAGATATAATGACCCAAGTATATTCAGTTATGCAGAACAACAAAGGAAAATCAAGTATCCTCGATTCCCTGACATGTTCCTATGGAAATAACAGATTAAAACTTTCAAAGCAACGTATTTCCTCATCTTCCATTTTAATCATCACATTATATATCGCTACCATTTGAATGCAAAACCAGAACTTTAGTTTTAAATGCACACCCAGGTTCTTCATATGATTTCATTTCTTTAAACCCTGCAAATGAGTTATCAGCTGATTTTATAACCCTGAACAATGGGCTTTTACCCTAATTACCAAGCAGGAGCAAACAAATCCCCAAATAGAAGAATAATTCCAATTTTTATCTGCCAGTAGAGTCCACTTGGGGCACAGCAGCCCAGGCTGTCAGTACAAAAATGATAATTTTGTATACAGCAGTATAAAGTAAGGCAGAGAAACTACATTGTCAGAGATGACTGAGGATCATCAGCAACATGAGATTTCTGCATGGTGAGGACAAAGGTGGTTTAGAAAGTTGTGTTCAAATAGCAGCTGTAGAAAACTCTCTACCAGGTGGAAGGCTGTTCAGATTTGTGGTGCTGTTGAAGTCTGTCCCAGATTGTTACTTTTCATGTTTTCATAAGCTTAGGTGTTTATTTTATGCAAACTAAATGGGCTTACAAGTAGGCTGCAAATTGCAATTATAATTAATGTCTTGGTAAGCCTGCGATCCTTCCTCCATCAGAAAATGCAATCCAATAAATGCAAAAACACAGGATGAATGTAAAAGCACTGTAAAAGCAAAAATGCTTTGATGATCTCTGGAAGTCTCTTCCAACCCCTACAGTCCTGTGATTCTGTAAAGTCTACTGACCCTGTTGTCCCATCTGCCCCAACAGAAGTCCAAAGGAGAGGTTCGACCTACAAATAATGCACTATAGGGCAAATAGGATGCACCTCTCCCACAGCCCCTGCAGAGCTTAACTAGGCCAATACGCAAGGGTGAGAGTAGAACTCAGTACACATGGTTCTTTACTAAGCACTGTGATGAAAGATCTTTCATCAGCTTTTGGGGGTGCCAGACACACTGTGTTGAGATGGTCACATTCGTTCATAGTCTTACAGAATCTTCTGAGGGTCTCTGACAGATCTGCAGAGCAGCACATCTCTCCTGCATCAGTCCAACCAATATGCCTGGACTTTGCTTCATTACACCATCCGGCAATTTGCTTGGTATGGAAGGCAGCCATACTAAACAGTGGTTTCCTGTAATTCTCTTTTTTAAAAAATCTGTGCTATTTACTGATCCATTTGCTGTTGTATGACTGATGGAAGGCATGGGTTGCACATTGCGCTTGGTCATTCAGCAGTCTTGAAATTGAGCCTTCTAGGGAGTCCAGGGTAAACCCCTGCTGGCCCTGGTGATTTGTTGCTGTTCATTCCATCTGTTTGCTCTGAAATTTCCTCTACTGACAGTTCAGTCTGAGGTGGTTTCTTGCTCAGCCCCCAGTAACAAAATGCTCTGCATGGAAAACTTCCCAAATCTCCTCTCCAGCATAAAGGGCTCATTTGCTTCCATTGATATGGCCCTTTTTTCTCTAAGTGCTTCTATTAGATCACGGCCATC